CCATAAAATCCACATGAATTTTACTACATCATAACAAGAAGTAAGAATGAGCGATTTAGATCACAATAAACCAAACAGCAAAGATCTATTAGGGAAAGCACAAGCTTATAAAGAATTTACATACAAAGCTTATAGTACTCGGTCGATTCTTCTCCCAGTGCTGAATGACTGAAAATGAATTAATTAATATATTCCGATCTGGATCAGAGTAGGCAATATTCAGGATTCTATCCCAGACTGGTACCAGTCAAGAAATCAGTGCTTTGGTGGATTTTCATACTTACATAACTGATGTTTTAGACAGTATGATAAACAAATTCCTCGATTAACGTTTCAATAACCAATTAGAATTGCTAGAATTCAGAAATTACGATGGGTGTGACTCAAAATATGGTACACAAACCCATACACTGTTATTGAGTTACCCAAGTACTTGCATTTGTATGCGGATAAAAAAGGTAGTAAATCTATGTAATAAGAGCTCACCTGTACATCAGAAACTTCGCCTCCATGCCCTGCATAAGTCTTTAATAAACGGAAATTATAAGGATTCCATAGTTTTATAGTTTTGTCGCCACCAGCTGTCATACAATAATTTCCATCTGCATTAAAACGTGCTGCACGTACAGCTGACTGATGGCAATGAATACGACAGTATGGTTGAGTAGGTAATCCTAATGTCTTGTAACTATCATCATTTCCAGAATTCATCATCCTGTTAGTGGAGAAAAGGAAAAATAAAACAAACTTTAGAACAAAACCAGCCTCTCCCCACGTATGAATGGAAGTAGCCAACTTTTAAAGGTACTCAGAGAAGCTATTGTCTCCCTTACAAAACAGTCAACAATCACAATACCTAGTTGAACAAATTTACCTCGTCGACAGTATGTTAACTAATTAATTCTTGTTACAATCAAAATGAATGGTTGTTAAGATGTACACTTACCTCTATGACTGATCAATGCTGGAAACATTTATTTTTTCTCGTTAATTATTTTGTTGAAACGAGAGTCAATGGTGTGATATGTATTAAAGATAGTTTTAATCACCAAAGAAGCAAATATCAAGAAGACATTCAGCTCGAAAGAACAAACAAACATAGGACTTAGAAAAACTGTTCATTGATATCTTTTTATGCAAACTGCACTTTTTTAAACGATTATACACTGAATACAATACTAAAAACAACCGGCTGCCATTTTCTTAACTACTTCAACAGAAACTCCGGAAACAGAGGAGTAGAAGTTCATTTACCAATTTGTCACAACGTCATTTACGAAACAGAATGTTACAGCCAACATATCCATTTGTAGCGAAATCAAAAGCCATACAATATGATTAACTCAGATGAACCAATTAAAAATGTACTACAATTACGAGATTCACATACAGAAATACCAACACTCTCCAGCAACACTCTTATTAACAGACTTTTTATAACGTCTTAACACTAATGATCTTGAAACTTAAATACTTATATGACTAATATTTATGAACCATAATGACTCTACATTACATGAGTGTTATTTATGTGAATCATCTATTGATAGCAAGTGTGTAATACATTGAAGCACTTATAAATATCCCACAAGCATCTATCTTCATTCTTGGAATAAATTTTGGTTCTTATGAGATTTTTAGCCAGATTATAGTCATAGTTATTTTGATCCATGAATGTTGGTAGGTTTAGCTCCGCAAAGAAGAAAAAACGATTGTGAATTATCTAACCATACGATGTATTTTACTATAAAAAATCTAATCCATAGAGATAAGACAATCAGAACAGAAAGAAGTGTATCAGCACGTTTGCCTCATTTTCAATGATGGATTTTTAAACACCAAGAATGTTGACGAGATTAGGACAAGCCAAGAAAAGTTTTCGGATAACTACAGACTGGAAACATGAATAATTGAGAAATATCACTGGAAACGCAGTTCCGTAGAAATGCTCTTTTATATATCGTATTCCGCAGATGTTCAAAATGTTGGGAGAATATAAAAATTATTCACCGATCTATTGGAGCTGCGGTGAACAACAAATCAGGTACATCAAACCAATTTACTATTTTATGTCTTTATAAAATGTGAAGATCATACATTAAATACATCTTTGGTACGTCTTCCTTCATTTGTCCTTTACATAGTCCATCATTCTTCTAATTCTGTTGTCATGCCGATCGCTCTCCGCTTTCCTTTCTATTCTCTTTATTTCAACCTTCTACTGGTAAGCATTCCACTTGTTATTGCTGTTACATACTACTTATATTCGTTCACATAATAGGCGCACACCAGAGTTGCAGTTGAACAAATATTTTTGGAGGTGAAATGAGACATGACTATTTATATCGAAACATAACTCATTGAGAAACAAATTATGTTAACAAGTCGTGTTCAGATTGATGTCTTTTAACCACATAAAATAATAAGACGCGTTTCTGTTCCATCTTTAAAAAATGTCCGCAAATTCATATGCAACTGCACAGAAAAGATGTAAGACACAGTAAATCCAGGAAAGCAAATTTGTTGAGAAATATCCGATCAGAACAAAGTGGATTTCTGAAATAATGTGAACCTTTCCTTAAGTTGTGATAATGAGCCCAAGAAACAATATGCTACTACGTTCACCTAAAAGTGCCAAAGGATATGTATACACAACACCAAAGATCTAATAATTTGTCGTAAAACTTAAGACCAATACATACTATATCCCAAGTACCAAAGTATATTAGATTACGGAATGCTCTATTTCATACACTAAACAATAACAAATTATCCTAATTCTTTAAACTACCAATGTCGAACTACCACCAAGTTTACCACTTACAGAGAGCTCGTTTACTTCGTTCTGATAGATACTCAAGCATAATCATATATAGGAAGCTGACAAAGATGAAAATAACTATTAATTTATACTTTACATATAAAAAAGTCAAGAGTATGTAATTTTAAACTGGAAAGGATAAATAATTATGAGATATGACAGAATTCATTTGTCATAAAACCTGATGGAATAACAGTATACGTTTAATGAATCATATACATTTGACTATCAACCATTGAATTAACAATTAAACTATACTCAACAATTTACAAATATTTGAACTTTCTAGTATTATTTGTTTTTACACTATAGCTGTAGTGTTACAGATAAAGGGGATAGATAGGCCCCAAATGACCTGGTATGGCCGAGAGTCTGGAAAGTCCGCTCTCCCTCTCCAAATGCTCTCACATGGCCACGCGTATATAGCTTCTGCCAGGGAAGTCCTACTCACTGCCTTCTCACAGTGGCATTACTGTTGTTTACGAAATTGAGAGGATGAAAAACGAATATCCGACGGTTTAACCGGGTTGGTGGACACGAAAAGTCCACCTAGGGGAGTTGGAAAACCCTGATTCCAAACCAATGGTGCACATAGGCTGGCTCCAGTATCCTGAGGGAACAAATGGCGTATGAACCAATAGTTGGTCACTGGCTATCATGGGACTGCATCTCCTCACAATTCTCCACAGTCTTGTAGATCAGACCTTTATGTCAAAGGCCCCGGCTGTGGTCCCCTAAGTAAACCACCTGCTTCAGTTTGGACACCTGAGTAGTATCACAGCCTTCACACAAATCAAATAAGATTTGTATGGCGCATATGTATCTGGTGCTACTTTGTACCAATATTTATGTTTAAATAAATAAAACATTCAGTTAGATTCATCACTACACATTTTTGTGTTGAGCTTTATTTCATAAATAAGCATATAGAATCATTGCTCTCGAAGATTCATTCAATTAACAACAAATACACTTTGAACGCTTGTCCATACAACTTATGATTACTGTAATCATCATTATTATCATGTTAATTACTGAGCTACTGAAGAGTCATAGAATAAGACAGTGAAACAGTTGTACAATACTCACTTTTGTTTATAATATATACATGTATATATTTACAGTGAAAATTATCAGTCACGTCCATCTCAATATAGGTATATATATATATATAGGTAGGTTGATAGATTAGATAGATAGGTAGGTAGGTTGATAGATCAGATAGGTAGGTAGATAGATAGATTAGATAGATAGATTGCTTTGCATGTTTCTCTATTTTTCTATAACTCAAATCAGTGGATAAAGATATATATATTCAAAAATATTTGCATAACTCTATAAATAAATGTAAGACAGAAAAGAATTACAAAATTATGTAAAAATAGTCTTTATTGTTAAAAATAACAATAAGAATCGTAATCATATATATATATATATATATATATATATATATATATATATATATATATATATATATATATGTATATTCATTCATTATTGACAATGGACAATCTAAATTGAAATCACTTTGTTATGAAACACCATTCAACACCTTTAAACGATCCATTATTTCTTCTATGAAAATATAAATATGAAATAAATATAAAAAAGATGGAAATTAACTTCATATTTAGCCACAAGCAACAGACTGTTATGAAAATTATAACAATTTAAGTCAATCAATATCTAAGCAGACTAGTTCTAGTATGGTAATGATACATAAATTTTTTTTAAATTTAAACACATAAATATTGGTACAAAGGGGCACCAGATACATATGCGCCATACAATCATTATTTCATTTATTTGTGTGTGGGCTGTGATACTACTCAGGTGTCCAAACTGAAGCAGGTGGTTTTCTTAAGGGGCCACAGCCGGGGCCTTTGACATAAAGGTCTGATCTACAAGACTGTGGAGAATTGTGAGGAGATGCAGTCCCATGATAGCCAGTGACCAACTATTGGTTCATACGCCATTTGTTCCCTCAGGATACTGGAGCCAGCCTATGTGCACCATTGGTTTGGAATCAGGGTTTTCCAACTCCCCTAGGTGGACTTTTCGTGTCCACCAACCCGGTTAAACCGTCGGATATTCGTTTTTCATCCTCTCAATTTCGTAAACAACAGTAATGCCACTGTGAGAAGGCAGTGAGTAGGACTTCCCTGGAAGAGGCTATATACGCGTGGCCATGTGAGAGCATTTGGAGAGGGAGAGCGGACTTTCCAGACTCTCGGCCATACCAGGTCATTTGGGGGCTATGACACATAAAAGGAGAAGTGTTAAGGGAAGCGGATAGACACTGGAAATATCTGAATAATGAACTATCTCCATACCAGTGCGCATCATTCACTTCATAGGGGATAAAACCCAGAAATTTTAGGCTTAGATACTACTACTAACCTTATGAGTCTTAATAGCACTATTTGGTAATTCATTGAGTACTTTGTTCCTAGGATGTCTTAACCGCATTTAGCAGTTAAATTCCGATCGGCTTTCAACTGGTATATTGAATCTTTGGACTTTTCTCATGATTTAAATCGGTATGGACAACCAGTTAATATTTTATTGATTACATACACAAATAATATGCTGCTCAAACCTGAGTACGTACATTCGTAGTCGGTGAATAAGTTTAAAAACCATTCAGAAGTGATTGGTTTCATTAGTACTTCATTTGATATTAGTCCATTTTAATAAACAAAAATCTATCTTCCGACCATCTATTTTGTTAATAAGCAAGATAGAAGTTGGAAGATCATACATATATAAAGGTTACCATTTTTGAAACCAAATAAATAAAAAGAGAGTTTCCAACTGAAATAACCGTTTTCAATTAGAGATTTATGATTCAACTTTGAAAAATAAGAAAAACAATCCACCTAGAAGAGCTCTAGTGATGATAAAGTTAATCAGTCAAAAGGTACTTTCCACAAATCTGTACAAAAAAGTACCTTCTTCTAGACCTCAAGTTCACTAGGCACTCACAGATTGTAACTCACAGTATAGTTAGCATAAAATACACTTGGTTGGGTCAAAATGACTAAAGTTTGCAAAAGTAGGATTTCTAAGTGAATAGCTAGAGAATGTAACATCTATACAGTAAAGTGATCATATGTTACGATTTAGAGTTCATAGCGGTGTTTCAGACACAATACGATTGGCCTCATATTCAAAAACTTATTTATCGATTTAGAATACGTAGATTATATAGTTCAGTGTGGGAATGACACTCTTATAAGACTCTTCTACGAACAACTCGAGTAAAAACGCACAAATGTTTTGAATGAGACTCTCCCCCTCTTCATACAAAATGTTGTTTGACGACCAATCAGTATCACAACTTAGTTTAACCATAGTCTCATCAACCCCAGTGATAGTTTCATGACTGCAAAAATCTCGGTACGAATTCAAAAAGCTTGATTATTTTTCTGCGAATTTGAACCATCTGTCTATGAAGGCGATAGCATATTTAATTGTTATTTGGCAACTACCTTACGAGAGTTAATCCAGTAAAACTATCGTATATTGATGATCTAAAGGGATTGTTAAGAATGTAACTTTTGTGGAGGAGTTGTAAAATATGGAAAAGGTAATAAGATTTCACAGGGTTAAGAGTTTTATCACTATTAATGAATGTATTAGGGGCAACTATGGAAACATTAGGCTGGGAATTATAGTACCGTAACCTGGCTAAACCCCATCTTTTAACCCCAACTCTAACAATTTATTCAATAAGAATATCATTGTCCACAACCATCAGCAAAAGATTACAGGGATTAATAGAGATGTTTACGCAGAATACACAGCAGAAAAGCCCTGACGACAAAAACACTCACTGCACGAAGAATCGGAGACAAACATCAAAAGAATGGGTAGCAGTTGGTAACAACTGGAAAGGAGAGACCCGGACAAAGTTGGTTGAAGAATCCTAATAGACGGCCTATGCTCAACTATGGGTGACAAGTGTAAGTAACTTAACACTGATTTTTATAAATATGATTAAAATAAATATAACATCAGAAGACTTACGTGTGTTATGATGAATCCAATTGAGTGAATGCATATGACAATTCAGAATACGCGTAATTTGATTCATAATATCCCCGTTAGTTGATGAAGTTAGTTTATTATTACCATTAATCATAGTATTCTCCTTAGTGGCATTCGTAGTAGTTGTACTATTATCCGATGAATTAAAACCAGTAGTAACATTCATTGTAGTGGTGTTTGTTTGATCGGCTATTTCACGTAAATCAGTCAACAGTTGACCTAATTCTAAGTCGACATTTGTAGCCAATTGAAATATAGCTTCACGTTCATAATCTGAATGTAACTGACCGGGTGGTAATTCATTCACTGCACGTTCTAGTGGTTCCAGTAAACTTTCCAATTCACGTTGTTGACCTTCAATAAAATCTAATTCCTATAATAAAAATATAAAGAGGCAAAACACGACAACGATAACGATCCACCACATGCATCAATTTGTAATATATATAACTGTAATTAATTAAAGATGTCTACGCCTGAATTATAACTGGTTTTAATGTCAGCCATACGCAATGTAAAGAATCTGGCACATATGCGTATTGCCAGAAGTTGACATGATATAGCGCAGTGAAAGGAAATTAGCAAGGCCAATTCTAAAGAAGTAAAGTAGCAAGAATATCGATGGCAGTAGAAAAGATTTATGGATAGAAAATATGATTCGACAAGAAAGAATGAATCCAGAAAATAAAAAGGCTGAAGATAATTTTAAAACCCAGGATTTAAAGGAAGACAGAGAGTGAATTCATATGATCACTTGCGACTGATTCATTAAAAGTCTCATTAGTTATAACAATCCTAAGCAACCAACCAAGTCTGCACCTACCTACTAGTCTGTCCATCAGTAAATGATCCCACGACTTGGTTTGTTTTATTCACAGACATTTTCCAACTTACTCAATGCACTAGTCAATATTATACGCTGAGATTGACATCAGTTGGACATACGTAGTATACAACTTATCTCCCAATAAATCGTTGATCTGTTTTTTTTTAAGAAAAGGATACTAATTTGTACTCTTTATTAATAATTTTACATTCTACTCAATGCTACATTGTGTTTGATGATTAAAACTGTATTTCATGAACTCACACATTTCACAGCTTTATCTCATTACATTACACCCAAAGTAGTAGTGATGTAACCAACAGGAAAATTAAACACTTAATATTCTACATCCAATAAAAGAGAAATACAAAAATGATCGATGATGTAAACTATCATAACCAAAGCAGTGAACCAACACATTGATTTTAATGACAAGTATTTGCAAAGCCACAACAATAGATGCAAGAAAGCATATTTTAGTGATCAGATAAATCAACTTCTAGTCATGAAACTACATATTTGATGTAAACTAATGGTAACAACTAAATGTCATCTACCTATTTCCCTGCTTTATTTTGCGACATATAACTTCAAAAACAAGGGTCAACTTGTGTCCAGGTTATTTTAATGCGTCGGAGCAAAACCTAGGATCAATCAATCAGACAAAGCTGCTAAAACGAACTAGCTCTTGCCGATATTTAACTGTAGACAATCGTCTAATTTACTGTTTCTATAGGAAACTGCATCTTAATTAAAACTAATTAGAAAAAACAACTGTTATGTACTGATAGCTATTTAGACAGTTTTAGTTTGAATATACAGAAATTTCAGGGATTAGTTTTTAAAGCCCAACTGGGTGTATAAACATCCCATGCTTTGATGAACGCGTAATGTAACTGTACACAAGTGTTTGAGAAAAGAGACGATCTTCTATGGGTTTCTCACAAATATAGGTAGAGGTGATACTAGTGTTGAGAATGAGTTGGTTACAAAGTATCACGATAAGCAATGCCCCTGAAAATATTACACACGAATTATTCCTGAAGAAGTGGCTCACACTGAGTCACGAAACGTCAGAAAATCTAATTTCCTTACCCATTGGGATATTACAAATATTTATTTATTACACAATGTTTCTTTTATGAATTTGAATAAAGCAAAAGAACAGCAGTGTCAATATCACATACAGACGTGATTTACGACGAAAGGGAATTTGTGGAAATACAGTGTACAGATAGTCTAGAGTGTAGTAGGTGTTTACTACAGACACAACAAACTGTGATCAATGACTGAAGATTTCAGGCGACACGGTTCAGAATTGTTCACAAACACGAAGATGCATTCACAGTTTATTCTCCTCTTGATCTATATATTCCTTCATACATACTCTTTGACTATCTTTTCAAGCGATATTCCTAATTTTTAATCTTCCCTAATACTATTAATATTATATCGTTTCGATTCGTTTGCCATTTTCATTTCTTTAAGCTAATGTGGTACGGCGACTTGGCCCAACGAACATCTATGCCAGAATCTAATGTTGATGAGTGACTGACATATGCGATTTAGTTTAACATTAAATGACTTTATGGACTGATACCAAATCATGGTTTGGTGGCCCATCAGATTTCCTTCAGGCAAAGTCCGGTGGGATTACATGTTGGGGAAGGAAAAACAAAATTCTAAGTAAAAGAAGAACACTTACCTGCTCAAGACGACTCTGTTCACATTGACACATTTCTACCTTTTTGTACATAGCTGTTATATTTTCTGCGTTACAAATCAAGGTTTGATCCCATTGATTAATACGATCTGCTTCATCGAAGAAATATCGTTCTTGTTCCTCAAGCTCAAGAGTCCATTTATTGACCAATTCTTCCAACTGATTGTAAGTAAGAGTTTGAGAGGATGTGACAGATACACTAGATGTAGTAGTGGCGGACGGAATAGAAGTGGTTGTTGTCGTGATGGTAGCGCATAATGATGTAGTTATTGCTGCTGCAGTAGTGGCTGTTTCACCTAGTGTTCGAGTTGCAATCCCCAATGATGACACCCCGAACCCAGAAGCCGCTGTTGATTTAGCCAATGTGGAGAGACTAGGGTTCCCAAAGTTGTAAGATGTCATTGCTATTGTTGCTGCTGTTGATGTGATCGCTGACGATGATAGTGAAGCTGAAGATACACCAAAACCAATACTACTAGGTATGGCCGGTTGACTTGCATGAACATTTACAATGGAGGCTGTGGAAGCCCCAGTAGACACAGTCGTCGAAGAAAAAGTGCCATAACTGATTGGAGGAGTTACTGTACTTTGAGTAGAAATGGCAGTAGTCAGTCCGAAAGTGAATGAACTTCCAACATTACTAGTCGTAGTAGCCGGTTTTAAGAGGCTGGGTAAAGGATTAACTAATGGCTGATTAAGAGCAGATTGTGAGGTTGGTGTGAGATTTGAGTTTGTTCCCAAACCAGTGATGCTAGAAGTACCAAAAGTAGATACCGTTGTAGATGGCTTTGCTAAGCTAGCGAAGGATGACAAACCAAAAGCATTTGAAGTAGTTGCGACTGTACCGAATCCAGAAGTAGATGTCAAGGACAAAGATGGAGGGTTCTGAAGGAGTGAAGAGCTGCATACAGCAGTATTGGAACTCGATGCGACAGCCGGAGAAAATAGTGATGTTGTGGATGTGCTAACTCCAAATGTTGGTTTTGTCCCAGCAGATGCTCCGAAAGGAGACGACCCAAATGCAAAAGCACTGGTGGTTGCAGGCTTCCCAAATGAAAATCCTGCAACATGACAAAGTAATGACCACTTAATATTTAGAGAGATAAAGTGTACACGGACTACATAGAACGAGAACAGTGTTTGTGCTGAAAAGGTTTGATTTTCCTATCTCACTACTGATAATAATACCATATTGCACCTCTTCCTTTGGATTTTCTTCCGCTGTAATGTGAACCGTGGCAATTGAGACTGAATTATGAGTATATACACGACTTTTAGTTAATTTGTGTGGAGGTATATATGACTCACGCTTTTTTGACCAGCATAGAGTGAGGCCTGAGTCTGCAGTCGAGACTATAATTTATGGACGAACCAATCACGTATACGATAACAGGCCTCGAATTTTAGCGCGAAATTCATCCACCCATTTGGCTAGAGTTTTTTCATCATAACTGATATCATCTTAACCTTACCCATCAACTGAAAACCGTAATTCTAATTTCTCACACTGGTTTATAACCCTTATTTAGTCCTGGTTATTAGGTGGGCACTCTCAAGGTCACTCTAGCTTCTACCAAAGATTTTCGTATATAATAATCCCCCGAGATGTGCCTTTTGATAAAACATTTCCAACCTTCAATCCAGCTTTTGTAGCTGGGACTGACGCTATTCGAACGGGAAGTTTAGTCCTAACGTGATTTACATTTCTCAAACTTTTGCTGTGTTCTTACGCAACAAAAGTATCATTTCCAATCCAAAGAATCTATTCTGAGCTATACGTTCGGTAGATTACTTCTTTTTTTGTGTTTCACTCAAATTAATAGTTAACTGTGGTTTTGCCTCAGCTCACTATCGGTTTTTTTATAGTTTTCACGTAAAGGCTAGCTTTAGCTTATCGTTAACTGTTTTTATACATTTTTGATAGTTTTTGTTTACTGTGTGTTTTTTTAACGGTCCTAAATTTACTGCTTATATTTTTAAGACAGTCTAAATCACTAGCCATGAAAAATTCATGCAAGAGACCTGGTTGCCGTTTTGCCGTTACATCTGGCATGCAATGTGACAACTGTAAAGGTTGGTTCCATGAGGCATGTACAGATCTAACAGCAGCAGCCTATAGCAGACTCAGCAAGTCTGATCGTAGGTGGGTATGTGTTACCTGCAACACCGATACGGTATTTATGTTGGGTACTATCATTACTTTACTGACAGGTCTGAGAGATAAGTTGTCTAAGAATTCGGTAAATGATATTATCATGAGGGGTAACAAAGCTGGAACGCATAGGGCAAATAAGAAAAAGGATACTGACAGGTCGGTTATCGACGGTGCTGTTAACAGCACGAGTGATGATGTGCTGAAACTCAGCACCATCTTAACATCGACTCCCTCAGTAAACTTGGGTCCCCCGGGGAACGGTCCTTGAATGAGACAGTGGTTCCCAAAAATCCTGTAGGTGGATGGACTCACGTTAACAGGAGTAATAAAGCCCAAGCGTCCCCTCCGAAACTGAACGTCCCAAGTATCGTGCGGAAATCAATTGATGCTTTGGCCGCACAGTCTACACCCAAGACTGTCCGCCCGGTCATCACTGAGCCCAGGAATCGAAAACGCGCCTCGACATCCAAACAACAAGATACCAAACCTAGACGCCCTGGAAAACCTGGGAAATCAATTGCGGTTCGTGACGACTCTGTCATAATCATGAACCTTATTGACAACCCCGACCTTCCTCTCAGTTTGCAGGACAAAAACGATAGGATGCTCTGGGGAGAATTAATCAAGAGGCTTGAACTCCCTAGAATAGAGCCTTTGACCGTCACACGGCTCACTCGGGGGAAGGACTCTAATCACCTAAACCACCCGAGGCTGCTTCGTGTTACACTTAAGAATGCCTCCGACGTAGAGGACGTCCTGCTAGCCAGTCACTTACTGAGGTCCGATGGGAACGTAAGAATACTGCCCGATATACCGTATTCTGAACGAAATCTCATCCGGAACATCCCTAAGGAATCTCGCGAGGCGTTTTTCCGTGGACGAAATATCATTGTGCAAGGTGTGCCGGAAAATATGGACCCAACTCAAGCAAACTCTGATATTCGGGAATGGAAATTCATCAAGCATTCCTTAAAACTCAAGAACATATTGACCCAACAGGTAATGAGGCTGGCCAAGAGAGACGGAGACTCTAGGCCCCGGCTGCTGAAGATAACCTTCCCCTCCTCCCACATGGCGGCTGCAACTCTGGAAGCATTTCGTGCCAATAGACGTCGGTTGCCAACTGGCATCCATATGCATCCGGATAGGCCCCACGACAGCAGGATCAAGCACAAACGAAAGCTGGAGCTGACAATTACACTCGTGGACTGTCTTGATCACAAAAAAAACGTGTAAAGGACAGGGACTACCAACTCGGTAAACATCGTATAGTTAGGCTACCTGTCCACTCACACACGGCTCATATAGACAAACAAGAAGAGGCTCACGCGTTCCAAATTGAAAGCATAAACTGCCTATACACGAACGCCGCGAGCTTGCCAAACAAAATGGATGAGCTACGTGAACTTAGCAACGCTGATGATGCCCATCTGATAGGAATATCCGAAACTTGGATAACGTCTCAGTTTACGGACCAAGAGTTAGCAATAACTGGGATGTCTTTATTTCGCAACGACAGAAAAACAGGAATGGGGGGTGGGGTAGCACTATACGTACGGTCATGCCTGGATGCGCACCAACTTCACAACCAAGAGTTTCACAATCTTGACGAGTCAGTATGGTGCTCAGTAAGATTATCTACCACCTCGAGGTGCCTAGTTGGGGTCGTTTACAGGAAGCCCACTGCCGACATCGAATATGACAAACGTCTGCTGGAAGGATTAACTCGCTCTACGCGTCTCGGATTCTCTCATATCCTGATTCTAGGGGATTTCAATATCCCTAGAATCAACTTCGTGGAACATACATACATTGGTGGTGCCAACTCTACTGAAGCTCTGTTCTTCAACCTTATCGGCGACCTGGGATTATTTGAAAATGTGAAGTCGGCAACCCGTTGGAGAAACAGTTAGACGCCGTCACGCTTAGACTGGGTATTCACAAACGAAGAATTCCTAGTTGACGACCTCTCAATCCTGGCTCCCCTGGGGAAAAGTGATCACGCCGTCTTATAATTCAGCTTTGTCAGCAAGACGGAGCTACGATATCCTACTAGCAACAAGCGCTGGAACTTCAAACGGTTGAATGTGTTAGCTTTACAGGACTATCTTCAACAGGTGGATTGGGATGTTCGCCCTCAACTTGAAGTGGGTGTTCATTGGGATTTTTTACTGCACACGATCTTATGTGCTACTGAGCATTCAGTTCCTAAAATGGTCCCAAAAAGCTACAAGCAACCTGCAATCATCAAGAACCGCACTCGTCGTTTACTAAGCCGCAAAAGGCACTGTTGGGCTGAATATAAACGAACTGATAACAACGGCGCGTACAGGCAATACAAACATATAAGGAACATATGCACAAAGGCAATAAGAGAAGACAGGCTTCAGTTCCAGACCAAGCTTATCGATAGATTCGTCTCCAATCCGAAAAGCTTGTTCAGTTATGCAGCTTCTCTTCGACAAGGCAAAACTGGAGTTTCCCAACTGCTTGGTCCTAATGGCCCGACCAACAACGACAGTGATGCCGCTAACCTTTTGGCTGAACATTACTCCCGGACATTCCAGCTGACCCACATCAACCATACTGACGAAAGCTTCACCTGCACCTGTACAGGACTTTCCGAAGTGGACCTGAGTGCTGACTTGGTGCTCCGTAAACTGCAGAACCTAAAAAAAGGCACGTCTCCTGGTCCGGACATGGTTCATTCCGCTGTATTGAGGGAAGCAGCTTCAATCCTGGCGACATCACTTAGCGTGATGTTTGCACACTCGCTAAGCAGAGGCAAACTACCGGAAATATGGAAGCTGGCCCACATCACACCAATTTTCAAAGGAGGTCGACGCAGTGAACCCTCAAGCTACCGACCAGTGGCCCTTCTCTCCATACCTTCAAAAATTATGGAATCCCTAGTATTCGACGGCATACTAGAACACTTATCATCCTCAAAGTTCTTCTCGCCTCAACAGCATGGTTTCAGAAAAGGTCATTCTTGTATGACCAACCTGCTGACTGCGGTGGATAGATGGACAACCATCCTTGATCGCAAGGGGAAGGTTGACGTCATCTACCTGGACTTCTCAAAAGCTTTTGATAGGGTCAACCATGCATGTCTTATCAAGAAGCTTGGACGATTGGGTATAAAACCCCCTTTAATTGACTGGATCACTTCATACCTAGAAAACCGACATTTTAAGGTCAGGGTTAACTTCACTCTCTCTCAGGCTATGGAATGTCCTAGTGGGGTCCCCCAGGGTTCAATACTAGGACCTCTTCTCTTCTTGATTTATGTTAACGATCTTCCTCAACAAGTTTCATCTGATTTATTGCTTTTTGCTGATGATGTGAAACTTTGGAGAGAGATACGTAATCACAATGATATACTAGTTCTTCAGGAGGATCTGACTCGACTTCAAAGTTGGGCAGACGACAACGGACTTACCTTCAACACTTCAAAGTGCAAGGTAGTCCATCTGAGACATGTTGCAGACTATAGTTATAACTTAGGTAACTCACCTCTAGAAGTTTCCCAAGTTGAAAAAGATTTAGGAGTGTTGGTACCCTACGACCTGAAATCGTATGCGAACTGTGACGAAAACGCCTCTCAAGCAAACCTTGCACTGGTAACATTGAAGCGCATTTTTGGCCAGTTTGACGGTAGAACCTTCCACATAATCTTCAACAGTTTTATTCGTTCCCACTTAGAGTACGGAAACATAGTATTTCCTCCCTCCCTCCAAAAGGATAAGGTCACTCTGGAACGTATACAATGTCGAGCCACGAAATCAGTTCGGGGTCTCACATTCAAACCTTATGAAGAGCGCCTCAAATCACTTAACCTTTACCCGTTAGAGTATAGGCGTCTTAGAGGTGATTTTCTTATGACTTATAGTATCCTTAATACTTCTGGTCATCCCCTTAAACATCATCTTAAGCTTAGTCATAACACTAACCTCAGAGGTAACACCCAGAAATTGGAGACCCTACATAGCAGAACAGACTGCAGACACTTCTACTCCGTTAGAGTTTTCAAGTGCTGGAATTCGCTGCCGACTGAGCTAGTCCAAGCGACCTCCCAGGAGTCCTTTAAGAGAAAACTTGACTTATTCTTAAGGACTAAGGATAACATATTATTATGATTTACCAAATTCTTTTTTTCCCTCCATTATCGTTCATATACCTAGGTTCTTGCCTGGAGGTATTGGTGATCCACTGCTACCAGACACGGAAGCCCGTTAAGCGAAAGCTTCTTCTATTCCGTCCTCAACCATTTGAACCATTTGAACGTGGTCAGATGGATTTGAAGACGGCCAAATTATTACATTTACGGATTGCAAGACAGTGAGAAATGAAAACTCCGTATGAAAGTATCGACTGTGTGCGAATTCGAGTAAAGTGGACGATTCTGCGTGAATCTAGGTGAGCTGTAATCAATTCAGAGACATTTTAAATAGAGACAAAAGGTGGAAATCCTATATGACTTTAATATAACGTGTGAAGAAAAGGTTTTTTGGCTCATTTCCCCATTATCTCCCCTTATCTTTTAACTGAATGTTGTTTTTAACCCCCTCCCTAATTCGCCTGTATTTCCCCTTTATGGGCTGCTTGAGATTATGAAAGGTATGGCGGCAATTAGTAGAGTAGCAAAACGTTGGCCCCAAGAAGATGAAATACTGAACGAATTGTTATTTTCGCGCGAACATTAAAATTCTACAGTTTTTATGTCCGTGGCAATCAACACCAAATATATTAAGAAATGTTCGAAGCGAAGGATAACAAACCTGACATATTTGAAAGTTTAAGACCGCTTGAACTCACAAGGCCATCTGGCATCCAATATCCAATATTGTGTCATGATCTAGTGTAAACCGATTCTTTCTTTGTACTGGTAATATACTCAACGCTGTCACGTCAACCAAATTCATCGTAGACCGGAGTAACAGTCATGTATATGTTCACCAGGCCAATAAATTTCTTATATTATGTGATTTTTATTAAAAAAAATTAGATTATGCTGTGAAATTGTGCTGTAACTGTGATTTTCGCCCACCATATCAGACTGCGTTACACCTGACACGTGTCTCACATTCCGGAATAATATACCAAGTTACGGAAAGCTGAATAATAGTTGTCGTTATTTTGACGTAGACCGTCAGTCAGTAATGAAGAAAGGTTTGTTTCTAAGTTCTGTCCTGCTAGCTGTAATTCAAACTATGTTTTGATGCTTAAATGACTGTACTCTTTCGTTCTGAGACAATTCCTATTGTCTTTTTTCAGGTACGTCTTACTGGCCTATAGTTTTTTTTGGATTTATAGGATGAATTATCTATATTTAGCAACTTTAAGTAACGTATCAGTTCAAATGAAACAATAATCACGCACCTCCTTAGTTAAGTATACTTGGTTATCTCATAATTCAGTTTAGTCAAGTTATTAATAGTATTTGAAGGAAGTGATGAAGCGCATCAGTCTGTTGACTGGAGTTGCTTAATTTTTCACTAACGTTAATATTCTTAAGCGACGAAATTAGAAAACGATTAGTAGATTCTGTGGTGTAACTAGCTTCCGGAATCTGAGGTTTAAAAACTGCAACTTGTGAAGTAAATGAGGAATCAAGAGGATGTGATAATGATATATCATGTTTACTATACTTTACTATACTAGCCAGCATATCACTAAATCATTTCATAATGAACTATGCATAGAACGGTAGTGATGTTGACCTAAATTAATAACCAACCCTTTTCTGAAAAGGACAGAGAAGCTATAGTAACTCTCACATCAGCCTGCTTTAAATGAGAATATCATTCCAAATCAATCCGCCTACAAATACTAAAGTACCTTGGATGCTGTTCTCTTCTTGCGTCATAATATGGTGTTCAGTTTGGAAAAAGGAGATGATTATGTTCGATGTGTGTTTGTAGACTATACGTCTGATTTGGCCATATTTCAAGACCACTGCTATTAAACATTTTTCCCAGAGTTAACGCTGGTAGCTGGATAACCTACTGGCTATGCTGTTAGTTTCATAGAAGAGAGAAGTAGACAATTCCTTAAAGAGGAGTCTTGACTCCGAAATCACGTGTTTAGCTAAGACTATGTTCGAAGAATTTAGTGTACTGGTAGGGATAACTGAGGTCATTTTCGATGGCGTCATGTTTCTGCTCTTTAAGTTCTGTCTGTGATTTTTCTATACATCGTCGGCAAATGTACCCTAAACACGTAGGGCAATTTTACATAACCCCGAAGAACGGTCTAGGTACTGCTGCATCACAGTGACTGTGGACCCAGCCACTACAGAAATCACATGCAGATGCCGAGTCACCGATTCTTCCTTGCTTCCTAGTCTTACTTGAAGTAAGAACCTGTGTAGAAGCGTGCTACTGATTACTTAGTGCCAGAGTCAGTATCGGTGTTTGGGTTAAGTGATCCACATTGTACAAGTTACTTGAAAACTATTTTATGGTGCCGTTTTTATTATGTCTTAATGACTTGTTAATATATGTTGTGACACAAAGCCAATTAGGACACTGACTTATTGACCAGATCAGTGACGTATAAACCAGTACGAGTAGCCTAGATTAAACTCTGAGTTAACCGAGAGATTAGCTTCTATCTAAATCCAGCCGGTATAGTTCAGAACACCACTACCAGCCTCCGCCATGCGCATCATGCATTTCAGACATAGTTTTATATGCAAACAAACCAGACCACATCATTAATATAAAATGGAAAACAACAATTATACGAAACCATGCCGAAATGTGGCTGTGAGTGTGAGATACTGTAACTAATAAATTCAGAATAACTTAAGAATCGTAAATCGTGCAATGGTAGTCAATAGGTGAAAGAGAAGCCTATAATGAAAGGAATATGAATACATATATGTATAATATAGTTACTTAACAGTTAAACAATAAGAAAATACACAATAACAGTACATGAACAAATCATATTGGTAATTATTCACATATTCTTCGTCTGGATATAACAGTTATGAGCTTTCTTGTGGTCCTTTCACGTGATACGAAGGTTCTCGAATTATTAACGAACTCTGAATTAGGAGTACTACCTTCACTAGTCGTCCTTGTCGTTATAATATAAGTACTGGTGACAACGCTATTCTGTGAATACTAATCAATGAATTAAAGTGTGAAGTGTGAGACAGTTTAAAGATGTAGTAGGCTCTTCAAAAGTTCCGAAGGAGGAAAAATAATAAATAGGTGTGAGTATATACTGCAAAAATATAGAACCTGAGAGACATGTAAAAAACTCTAGCGTAACCATTGGCCACCATAGTGAGTAAATTCACATGTATCCAGTTACTTATCTGTGTTTCGACAGGAATCCTAGTTTTTCCGTCTCAAAGAAAAACTTCAATATAAGTCTCGAATGTATAAGTGAACGAACATCAGACGTAATCAGAAATCTAACAACAACGACTAAAAGAACGTTTAATACGGCTAAACTGTGAATAACCTTCACTACTAGAAACTTGTTTTCTGTAAAATTAAAACACGAAGTTTAGCGAAGGGATCTCTTTTCAATGAATTTATTATCAAGCTGTACAATCATATATATATGTATGAAAGGGTTTTGTTAAAGTAATAATTACGTGAAGAAATGTGAACACTAATAACCAAGATTATAATACTAGATTATGCAATACGAGTAGTTGCAATAGATTATGTGAATATAATAAGATGAATAAAATGAATAAAATGTTTTGGTTGCAATAATTAAAGGTCATTAAAGGTCGTAGAGGCTTAAAAATAGATAAGGTGATACGATGAGTATTCATGAATGAAATAATGAGAATATAAGATATAAGTAAAGGGGAATGGAGTAATAATAATAATAATAATAATAATAGAATGATAATAATAATATCAAGGCCATGGTAACGATAATGATAAGACGTACTTCTTTTCTGTATCCGTAAAAGACAAGCTTTCACTTCTGGTCACCTCCGTCGGCATCTACCAATTCACCTGCTCTTGTGGAGCAAGGTACATTGACAGCTCGCCTTCAACTGGGATACGGAAACATATCCCAGTTCGGTTCTATAAGGGTGAAAGAAAAGCAGTTAGGGGTTCTATACTTGAACACCTAATCGACTGTAATCCACAGTTTGATTTTAAGGTTGGTTATATGATTCGTTCAAAGCTACCTAGATTTCTTCGTATCCAACTCTTAAAAATGGCATTGGATCTTACCATCCATGAGCTTAAACTAGAACTATGCGTACAAATGAAGCACATTTAGATCGTATTTTGCTGCAGTAAATTCACGAAATCAGTGCGTAGAGCATTATTTTCGCTTTCTCTGTTTTGTAGTGTACACGTTGGCTCTATTGTTACTTCGTAACTTGAGCTTGCATACCGATTACTCTTCTGAACCTCACTGTTCTTGCTTAAAATTTGGTGGGTTCCTCGAAGCAGCGTATTGAGAATAACTTAATAGTTAAAGATACGCGAAGTTTGTGTGAATCGCTGTTTTACGCAAGGATTAAGACGAAATTTCAAGTAACCAGTAATTCTTAAATGTTTGTAGCACTTTCTTCAGTTATTAAAGCACATTTACAAGGATTAACCCTTTTTAATAATTAACAAGTGCTGTTTGTAGTGCTCCGTGTTCAAGAGACATTTCAGTCGACTTAAGGGAGGTTTTCGGAAGCTGGATTGAATTTGGTGGTGTGTTGAAGAAATTCCAAAAAGTATGGAAGGATAATTTTACTCACTCTCAGACTACCGATACCAATTACACTCACAACGAGAGTAAACTGCTGAAGGATATGAGATTTAAATACATGTTTGTTGTGTTTCTTCGCACATTTGGTTATAAGCCTAAACCACAAGGTCTAACAGTGAAACAAAAACGGTGAGAACAATAACTAGCATGTGACGTTTAAGGTCTAAGCATTTAAGCTGCCAATCAAGGTTCCGTGTAAAATTGTGCGGTGAGGAATATGTTGTCAAATCATACAAGCTGTTCCACAATCATCCTTGTAGTGGTTCATGAATGGTTTATGATCCATAGACCAGAAGGTTGTCCTCAGAAGAAAAACGAAATTTGAAGCCGGTGATACTACAATCAACATCAACAGATGAATTAATAGAAGGTTTTAAGGATCTGTAGATGGAGTCGAGTCGCGATTGACTATGATCACGACTACAGGAAGATTACGTGCCAGGTATCGACTTGGGTCCCTCGGTAGGTCAAAAACCAGAAGGCTGTTGATGGTTGCATTGAGATATATTTGTTGGCGATCTCGTGGTATCGAAAGAATACCGAGACGTGCCGACGTTTACGGGCAGAACTGCCGAGCGTAAGCAAGTTCGTTCAAGGCCACAGGCAACGGAAGGGGAAGTACTTTTGGCACAGTTAAGCAAATAAGTACATTAAAATAATCACTGGTACAATTGATTATGATAATAATAATTGTTTCTATTATACCAATCGCGCTCTCATCGTAAATGTAGGTCACTACAGATCGAACTGGTAAGCAGGTCACTGCTGCTGATGTGAAGACTGTGAAAGCTCAACTCTCCACAGGTAAATGTATAGAAGTATATTTTTCAGGTTGTTATACGCGACTGCAAGTATTTGATGTATTGCGGTAAAACTGTGAACTGAGAAAGTATTCAGAATAGGAATATATCACTAGAATCTGCCTTATTACTTATGAGCAGACAGAATTATATAACAAATATCCAGAAGTCGTTTGTATTGATTCTACTTACAACACCAATGATGAAAGGATTCGTTTTTTTTAATTCTACTTTGTAGATATTCGTTATTCCTGTTGGTATTAATGGATAGTTTTGGACGGG